CAGTTGAAACAATGTTCAAAGACCAGTTCTTTTCCTACAATATATCCCTGATTAATTATCCTGTAAAGATGACAAAATTTGATGTTTCTTCCTCTAAACTCTCTCACACTTTGATACCTTAAGCCTATTTTCTATAACTTTTATGTCACCAATTTGATTTCTCGCCTACTTCCATAGGGCCTATCCCGTGTCCCTGTGATGGCATGTGACATTGGGGTTTAAAGGAGAGGCAGTTTGCAGAGATGGGGGCATGGGAAGAACAGCAAAGTTGGGGGAGGGTGACCGTGGGAGCATCTCTGAGCATGGACCACTCTTGGTCTACTGGTCTTTTCTAGAAGTTTTGTCCCCATCCCCAGCTCTAGTCTTGAGAGACACCCTTCTGTCGCTGGTCTTGATCTTCCATTCTTCCTTCCTGTCTGTCTTCCCCAAGCTCCTCACTGTGCCTTGGGAACGTTCCTAACCTGTTGAGTTGGCATCCATCCTGTCCATGGAGACTAAGTGGGTGGGTGGGTAGAGCAGTACTGAATCTTTGATCTCTGAGCATGGAGTAGGGGAAGAGATCAATTCAGTCTCCATTCAAACAAGGGCATATTTCTTACCTCCTCACGCCCTGGCCCCTCCACAGCCAGATACTGACAAGACTCATCCCGCCCCTTCTTCCCCCCACCAGAATAACCAGAACTTTCCCCAAAGGATGAGCAGGTTTGGGCTAGGAGAGGAAGGAGCATAGAATAGAGGAGAGGCAGGAGGGAAGTCCTGCTCATGTCTCTGGCTCTGAACAGGTAAGCTCCCTCACTTCCTCTCTTCACTAGATGTTTATCTCTCAGGATTTCATGACTCAAATATTTCTATACCCCCTACACCATCCTTCTTTCCCATAGCTGTGTAGCTTTTCTCTTACTCTCTTGGAGATGGGTTGTGCCACTTTCCAAGTTCTTGTCTTCTGCAGTTATTGGGATGCCCTCTCTCTTCCCGGACACCTGCCACCAACATCTCTGTGTTTTTCTTCTGCCAGTTTTGCTGGCCTCACCTTTTTATTTTTTCGAAGTGGATGGAGAGCTCTTTCCCCTTTCTCTGCCTCCAAACTTATACCCTCTCTTTCAATATATAATTCCCTTTCCTAAGCCACACCTCCACATTTCTTCCCTGAAGTTGACAGAGCTCCCTATGATGTGATTCCCCTCCCCTCTTTTTACTAAGATATAGAGGCTTATCTTCTTTTCCTTGAAAATTACCAGGGGCCTCACCCCTTTCTGTGATCTCCTCAAGGCAGTTGGGGTCCCCTTCTCCCACTTTGTGGACTCTCTTCCTACCATTTTAGGCCTCTGTCTCCCAAATGCATAGAGCCTCCCTTACCATTTCTGTGTGTCTCTGTCCCCCAGATGTACGGGGACCCCCTATGCACCGAACCCAATACGTTCATTCCCCATATGATCGTCCTGGTTGGAACCCTCGGTTCTGCATCATCTCTGGGAACCAGCTTCTCATGCTGGATGAGGACGAGGTGAGCAGGGTGGAAAGGTCGGAAAAAGACCACTGGGTAGCATGGGGAGAATATGGAGAGAAAGATAAGGAGAATCCTCCTTTGTAAAGGAATAACACAGAGAAGACAAAGAAGCAATGTTTACAAGCAGTGGGAGGAAGGTGAATACTGAGATTTGGGTTGGGATGTGAAAAGGGGTAAGCATTCTCTCATCTTGGCCAGGGGGTCTTTGAAGGCCATGTGCAGTGTTGGGGAGGATATGGGGTTCTGAAGATTTGGGGGTGCCTCCACTTTTCATCTGCCCATATTGTGGGATAGGTTAGGGTGAGGAAGAGGAACTTAAGGGTGAAGAAATTGGGGATTGCTTTGGAAGGATCACCTCAAAAGCAATCCTCCTCTTCCCCCACTGAGCAAGACCCATCACTCACCACTCCCAGTCCTTTCCCCATCATGGGGCAGAGTGTAGGGAGGGAGAATTAAGAAACTCAGAGAAAAGGCAGGGAAGAGTAGGGGCTTTGGAGAACAAAGAGGGAGCTGGAGGATCCTGGGAGAGATGACAGATCAGTGGATATTGGCGGAGAGAGCCTTAAAGACTGGGAAGGTACTTGAGATCAGGGTTTAGAGAGACAGAGAGGGCTTTCGCCAGGGACATCAGGAAGGAATATAAAGGAGGAGACACCTGGGGATAAAGGAACTAAGAGTATGGGAAGTTGTCTAAAGGAGTAAGAAGAATGAGCTAGAGTCAGAGACTAGCCAGAATGAAAGACATGAAATGAACAGAGGGTTCTTATGGGAGGTGGTAATCATGCAGGGTGATTAGAGAGCCAGGGGAGTGTGGGTTCAGATTTGGGAGCCGGGTCAGCAGTGGAGGGTACATCAGAAGAAACAAGGGATGTGAATATGAAGGGTGGATGTCCAGAGGTGTGATTCAGGGGGTGATTTGGGGGACCAACTTTAGAGAGAGTGGAGGGCTGGAGAGGGGGAGGTTGAGAAGGGAATGGGAAGGGGGAGTTGGGAATGAGGCTCAGGGAGAGGTAATGGCCAAAGGGAAGAATAGAAGTGAGAAGTTGGAGGGGGGGTGGGGGCGGCGTTGGATAGGGTAGCCTAAGAGACCAGAGAGGTGGTGAGAGATGTGCCCCAAAAGATATTGGGGAAGTTGTGGTGAGGCAGGTCTAGAATTGGAGTTGGGGTTAACCAGAGTTTTGAGGGACCTGGGGGACAAGTGAGAATGTGGAGAGATGGCTGGCCATGGAGTAAAGTTGAGGTATCTAAGGGAGGATATGGTGACTTTAAAGGAAGAGGTGGTTTGGGTACTCAAAGTTTTAGGTATTGGGGGACATTTGAGTGACTCACTAGTCATCGCTAGTCTTGACCAAGGGTTTGGGGGTCTGTAGGATGAATTGGGGAAACTGGAACCTATAAGAGTGGGGACTGTTGTGAGGATGGAGGAGGACAATGGACAAGATAATGAAAGAATAACAGAGATGGGGACAGGTAGAGGGAACTGGTGGCCAGCAAGCTAAGGGGCAACAGAAGTGAAGTAGGAAGGGTGCGGACAGTGGGAGAGTGGGATAGAATTGGGAAAATGGGCAGTGTGTAGGGCCATGGGGACTGGAAATGGATCTAGATCAATTGTGGAACTGGGAATGGGGACTTATGGGGTGGAGGTGGTTCCTGTGGGGGTGGAGGAGATTGGAGGACTGGAGAGGAGGAGGTTAGGAAGGAAATAGGAAGGGGGAGTTGGGGATGAGGCTTAGGGAGAGGTAATGGCTAAAGGGAAGAACGGAAGTGAGAGAGGTTGAGGGGGCGGGGGCGGTGGAAGGAGATGAGGTGGGGGAAGGTGACCAGCCCTCTGGGAGGGTGGGGAGGTTGGGTCCCAGTCTGGCCGCAAGCCGGGCGTGGGAGGGAGACAAGCTGTGGATCCTGATTATAAATGCAGTTTCTGCTACCCCCGTGACAGGCACGGGGGGTGGGAAGGGGGCGAGTGAGGTGGGAGGTTGAGAGGAAAGCAGGGAGAATGGAAGAACTGAAGGTCAAGGGGAATGTGGATTCAGGGCGTTGCAAACTCCTGAGGGGTTGCAGGAAGAGCTGAGTAGGATTTGGGAGAACTCCCTGGAGAGTGTTTCAAAAGAAATGGAGGGAGAAGAGAGGAGGGTGGGGCGGGAGGGAATTAGGGAGAGAGACTTGAAGAGAGAAGAGAAAGAGAAATCGATTCACCCAGACACAGCAAGA